TTTTAAGCACCAGAAACACAAACTATAAGCCTAAATAATAAGAGAAAGCATCCCAGTGTTTAGCCTTTTTGCTTTTCCCGCTGGTATTTCTGACTGAACTATGTTTTTAACTTCAATGAAATGATATTTGTCAAGAGCTTCCTTTGCCATCTTCGCATTTACCAAAGACACAAATAAGGTGCTCCATTACCACCCTCTAAAAGCACAGTTTTACTGGTCTTTGTAAAATACCCGAGGTTAACTTCTGTACATGATGCGAGGTGAGACGTAATTTCATTGTTTCCCATCCCAAGTATTCCAGCATGAGACACTTGCTTATCCACACTGGCCACTGTACTAGCTTCAGTGTGACAATTCCCATGCATTCACGGTCCATCACTCCACTAGTCTAGCTACCTCTAACGTGTAGCTTTGGTTGTTCTGATGTAGCTGGTGAAGACAAGGTGCAAGCTTCATTCTTTTTCATGTGTTTGCCATTCTCATCTTTTGCTCTATCATATAAATTACAGGCTCAGATTGCCTACTTCTATCTATACAAATATTTGAACTTGGATGGCATTGCATTGAATCTACAATGTACAGAGAAGGATAAATTTTTACATCACGCCTTCTAATGTCTGTACCTGATACTAGTCACTTTATTTATTGAAGTCGTCTGTAATATTTCTCAATAGTTTTTAAAATTTTTCATCACTTTCTTATGTAGTTTATCAGGTTCATTGCTTAGTAATTATTTCTGTGCCAATGTCTGATATTTTTAGCTGTGATTTTTCTTTTATTTTTAAATCAGGAGAATTGATTGTGAATAGAGCATTGTTAAATCTTCTTATTAATTCAAATAATTCATCTGTAGGGTTTTTCAGTGTTCTATCAATATATTGATGATTACATCATTTGGGGAGATGAGTTCTGATGTTTCCATTCTAATAAACACTACATCTTCTTTTTTCTTAGTTTATGGCCGTGGCCAAGGATTCTATCCTGAGGTATCAGTTTTGAAACGGTGCCTTTGCCTAAGCTGTTGAGGGTGCACTTAAAGACAAAGGGGAAGAATTCCTAGGAACTTCTTCCTTAAAGACACGCGCAACTGTTTGTGGAGATGAGTTAGTCTTCTATGCCCAACTTGCTAAGACATTTTTTCTAAGTTACATATATAGAATTTTATCAAATATTTTTTCAATGTCTTGGATTAATTCTATCACTATTTGAACAGAATCTGATTTTGAGTTACCAGAAAAAATAGGATTTCTTAGCTCTTATACTTTGAAATGTATTTTATACACTGCTAGATTTAATTAGAAACATTCTCTTGGATGCTTATGCATTGGGATCATTAATAAAATCAGTTACAACTTTTCTTTCTTGTACAGTTCTTGTCGAGTGTCGACATCAAGGTTATGGTGGCCTGAGGGAGTGGGGAACTGCCGCCCTTCATAATGGACTGTCCAAAAGAGGGCGCCAGCTCGAAGTTACTTCTTGCTGTTTTTGGTGGAATTCCTGGTAAGAAGCAACCAGCTTTACCACTGTGTAAAATGATTTTACTTTTAAAATGACTAAGCCATTTTTTAGATAAATAGTTGTATGATTGTTTAAGTTTTGTATGTGAAATTTTTATATAAAACACATAATTTCTAAAATTAGTCACTATAAACATATACTATAATAACGTTCATTTCATCTAATTTTGCCTTCAATTACCTAGCTTTTAAAATAAAAAAGTTTAATATTTATGTATCTGTGTATAGTTTTTAAAATAAAAGGGTTTAATATTTACTTATGTATCTGAACATAGTTTTTAAAATAAAAAGGTTTAATATTTACTTATATATTTGTGTTAGCCACACAAGGTCAGAAGAGAGTGTTGAATCTCCTGGATCTGGGATTACATGTGGTTATGAGTTGGGACCAAACTCTGGTCCTCTGCAAGAGGCACCCACTCTTCAATGTGAAGTCACCTTTCTAGCCTGCTAGATTTCCAGTTGATAACTAGGTTCCCTCAGCTAACTGCAGCTATAATTCCACTACCTGTTCATTTCCACTGCTGCTACTGTGAGGTCAGATGGAGGCGTTTGCTTGCTTTCTTATAAACAAAACTTCCATGTCTTGCAGTAAAATACACACGTGGGCTTCTTTCCATCTGTCCCGTCAATATCACTTTGGGTACAATGAACCTTTGGGTTAGTTTTCCATCTGGATAATTCTCAGAGGTCACGCCCTTCACTACGGGCCTTGTCTCACCTGCTCTGGGAGTTCTAGACAGGTGTACGGCAGACGGTCCTGCCTCATCCCTGTGCTTCTTAACGTCCCTGTTCTTTGTTCCGCTTCTGGCCTTCTTATGCTGCATTCTTCATATTCCTTAAGTTCAGTTTTCTAATTCATTAGTCTTTCTCAACAATCTCAAATGTGATATCAAACCTGCTCAAAGAAAATTTAATTTCCATTTTTCATTTATATAAATGTGACTTAGTATCTCTTCAAATTTTCTCACTCTTTACTCTATTTCTCATTTTTTATTCTACCTCTTCTGTAATTCAACAAACATTCTGAGTTTCAGAATTCAAATACAAGAATTCTGATTTTACTTGGTAAAATCTTTGGTACAGACTCTTTTTTTTTTACATAAAGTGTTTTTTAAAAATGTATGTTGCTTATTTTCTTGGGGATGTTATTTGAGGTTTATTTAGTTTTTGACTTGTTTCTTGTATTCCTATCAACTGGATGCTGCTGTCCTGGTTGTCTGTTTACTTTAGCCTCTTTTGACTTTTCTTATCTGTTTATCAGTAAAACAAAGAGGTTTCAATTGTATATGTCAGATTTGGGTCTTGAACTAATATTTATTGCTTTTATGAGAGTCTATTAAATTTTTATTTTATTGATTATTCTTTTTTTTTTTTTTGGTTTTTCGAGACAGGGTTTCTCTTTGGAGCCTGTCCTGGAACTAGCTCTGTAGACCAGGCTGGTCTCGAACTCACAGAGATCCGCCTGCCTCTGCCTCCCGAGTGCTGGGATTAAAGGCGTGCGCCACCATCGCCCGGCTTATTGATCATTCTTAAGGTCATTTAATCAGCAATTTATTTTTCACAGCATTCTGTGACGATGAATTACAGGTCCTTCTGCAGACTGAGCTACACTCACGCCTCTGCTTCTCTTTGCCCAGAATGACACAGATGTCCTCTGTGGTCAGGGCTCCTCTCAGTGCTCACTGCTGCTCACAGGTCTGAACAGGTCAACTCAACTGAGGTGTTGATTTCTGCATCAGAGCACTGATGGAGCTTTCTAGAACACCTGTGCCTTGTGGGGAGTGAAGGGTTGATCGGCAACAGGAGAGGGTATGTTGGCTAGAATGTTGCAAGAGAAGAGGTGAGCTGGGAGTCCAACACCTCCTTTTGCTTCCAAACAAGGCAGGAAATACTTTACTTTGCATGTACAGAATTCTTGATTAGTCATCTTGCTGACAAAGCTGACCCCTTTTCCAGCACCGAATTATACCCACTCCAGATCTAGCATCATCTTAAGAGTCTAGTTTGTTTCTCTTTAGGATGAGATCTAGTAAACTGCTCATTTCTTAAGCAAATATTCCTGGGGTTTTGGTTTTTTTGAGCTTTTAAAAAAGAAAATCAAGTGGAAAATTCTATGTGCACTAGCTAGGATGGAGACTTAGGGTGACAGGGATGGAATGGTCCAGCTGTCCATCATGACAATTCATGCCTGCTGTTCTCCTGGAGACCTACAGCCTGCCCAGGGGCTCCCAAGGGCTCTTCCCCACACTAACACACACTCTTCGTTGCTTCTTTTTCTGTCCAATTTATAATTTCATTGCTCAGGGCTGTTCTTCAGTAAAGGTCCCTTTCCTGAACTAGGGCTGCTGCTAATTGACTTCCATTTCTACAGCATCCTAGTCACTGAGTGAGGATTCCAAACTGGAGAGGAGGAAGTACTTAAGATCAACCTGCCACCTGAGCAAGCATTCTCCCAAATTATAAAATGCAGACAAACACCATGTGTTTTCATATGTGAATTATACAGTAACATACTTAATATCCCAATATTATAAAATAGAAGCTTATTAAACATCAAGAACTTGTCACAGAAGAATTACAAAGAATCCTCACTGGTACCCATGCTCCCAGAAAGTCCTGTGTCAAATTGCCATCACCCCCTCCCCAATTGACTTTTCTCTATCTGTACATAAATGTTATGGAATTTCCCAGTACACTGTGTGGACATCTTCTCTCCCAAACTCTCCTGCCTTACAGGCGTCAAGAGGATGAGTCTCAGTTCCACAGATGCCTCTACTAACTCAGAGTAATTTTTTATCTTCCCATAGCTTTGTAACTAGCAAAGGCTGCCCTGTTCCCAGCCCACTGGCTGCTTGAGACGCCAACAATGCCTGGTCTTCATGAGTTTGCTTTTAAGACACAAACCGGGAGCTTATGCATTTTTAATGCCACAGACAACATTAATAACAACTTGTAGGGCCACAGAAGAGAATTAAAGCTCTCCTTCACAGAATGCTCCCTCTCTGATGACAGAGTTCACATGCTTCATCAACCACTGGATTCAGTATGGGGACCCCTTGCTGTCCAGCCCAGCCTGCCTATTTCTGGAAGAAGGTACAGTACATTTAACAAGTGTGTGTTTCCTTAATAGAGTCTAAGGTCATTTACTGTGACGCCTTCTGTTTGGGTTTCTTTGCCTATTCATTTTCTTTTAATTTAGGCATCTAGTTACATGCCTTTGAATTTATTTCCTTCACATATACTAGGGACCAATGGAGCACGGTGCTCCTCTCTTCTGGAATCCCCTTGACATGCACTACTCTATGCGTTGGCCTCCTCCCCTTGAATACCCACACTCGGGGTCATCAAGAGCCTCACTGCACATGTAGGAGGTGCCTAAACAAAAGGCTCTCTTTTTTGTGTTGCCTGGTGGCTTCTGTAAAACCTACTTCTCATCTTTCCCTGCCCTCTCCACAGAACGCTTTAGAGAAAAGTTCTTACTTGGATTATTGTGTCCAGAGGATACAAGTTGGGAGTCCTGAAAAAAGAAAAACAAGAAATATCAATTAATGCTATTATTTCCATTTTCCAAACTAAAGTTGAATACATGATATATTACTCATTATTCAGAACCAAGTCTCCATTCAAACCTCTACCAGCTATTGTCACGAGACACATCTACATGAGCGTGCTTGTTAAGAAGTCCTGGGAGTACAGCTGACAATCGCAGTCATTTTTCATTATTGAATTTTTGTTATGTCTTATTGAGGTGATAATTCACATCATACAAAACAAACATTCGGAAACAAGAAATTCTGTGGCTTGTGGTACTTTCAAGTTGTTGAATGACTGCCACCTCTACCTACGTGCAAGCACCCCATCACTCAAGCATTAAGTCCCCTACCCTTTAAGCAGTATCCCCTACAGCCCCTTTCCCTGTCCCTCAGCCCCTATCTGTTCGCATCTGTGTGTTTGGACTTTCCCATTCTGGTATCTCATCTACCTAGAACCACACATCTGTGACCTTCTGAGTCTGGCTTCTTCAGTTAGAATGCTGCACTGGAATTTCATTCTTGTTGGAACTGGTATCAGTAGCCATATCTTCACCCCTCCCTCCGTCATCTTCCTCTCTTCTTCCTTTGGCAAGGTCTCACTATACAATCTATGCTGGCCTAGAATTTATAATCCTCCTACCTCAGGTTTCTGAGTGCTAGGATTATCGGTATGTGCTATGGTTCATTTTATGGATGAATACTATTGGATATGTAAGATGATATTTTATGCACACACCTGCTGATAGAATATAGTGTCTATATTCTGTGAGCTGTGCTGCTGACTGAAACATACACAGCTTCTGTTTTAAATCCTTCTCTGTATATACCTAGAGGTAGAATTTGGGGTCTTATGAAACTCTTTGTAAATGTTTTGAGAAGCACAAGCTGTTTCCTGTGATGGCAGAACCCCGTCATTCCTATCAGAAATGTATAAAGGCTCCGATCTCTCAACATCCTTGCCAGCACTTACTATTTTAATTGTTTTTTGTAGTCATCTCTGTATGGGAAGAATGGCATCTCGTTGTTCTTTTTATTTGTATTTGCCTAAAAAACTAAAGATGTTAAACATTTTCCCACACAGTTGATGACTATTTTCATTTTTGAAGAAATACCTATTCAAGTAATTCATCATTTTATGTAGTTATTTACGTTTTTGTTATTGAGTTGAAAGAGGTCCTCACACAGTTGATTCTATATCCTTACTAGATATATGGTCTGACGATAATTCCCCCATTTTCTAGTATTCTCCTATTACTGATAATGTCCTCTGATGCACATAACTTTTATATTTTTATATTTATTTAATTTTTCTTTTGTCATTCATACTTTGGTGGGTTGTATTTTAGAATCTATCACTGAATCCAAGGTTACAGAGAAATAACCTTGTGTTTTCTTCTATGAAATTTATGACTTTAGTTCCCAGCTTTAGTCACTGATACATTACATTAATGTCTCTGGAACCAACTCATTTGCCTCTGAATGTGTCCTACTTCTAATATCTTTACAGATGACGGCTGCCAGCCCCATCTTGACTGGACACACTCTACTGAGCAACTGTGATCTCATTGTGATGGACACAAAGGTTATTATGCAGAAGCATTAACTTGCAATGGCATAAATCCAGTATTACTCTGTATCTTAGATTCAGTCACTACTCAGGTAAATAGATTGAACCTGCTTTTATTTGTATTAAAATGAAATGCAAACTTCTGTCTTGAGAATTTAAATTTTCTTTCTCTGTAAAATTGTTTTTTTAACATAAAATATAAGAGTGAGTTATATAAGAAGATGGTAAGAGTGTAAATAAAAATGTGTACCAGTACATAAAATCTAAAACTCCTATATAATTCTGATATGTGGAATAAAAACCTAGTGAAATGGAATTAACTACTAATATATGATTTGATGTATTTCTACACCATTTTGCTCTAGGAATGCAGTTGCTATCAGGCAGGGGGAGACACTTAATAGGACCAGTGATATTTAAATCTAAGTAATAATGTCCATTTTAGAAAGGAACTCCTCCGGGATAGGATAAAATGAGCCAGGCTGTTGGGTAGGAGCTGTGTGGCCAGAGTTACACAGAAGCCCAAGGAACCTTTCTTAGTTAATAATGAGCTATTTTCCTTCAGAAGCGCAACGAGTTTAGTTCTTACTCTGGAACTCAGCTTTTGGAAAATCAGAGTGTGAAGATGAAATAAATAAACCACTCTTGCAGTGACAGGCTGAAGCCTAATCTGCAAAGAGACGCTGGCCTACTTTGGGTACATTCTGTAATACAAAAAAATAAATGTCCACAATTAAAGACTCCAGATGGGTTGGTATGCTCTTCTTCTCCAATTAATTTGGAGTTTATATATGGACACAGTTTGTTTTAGCTTTAATTTGTAGAAAACATTTTGGGCCTCAGTCAGTCAGCTTCTCCGTGCTCAGCGTAGGTGGTGGCTCTAGGCGGAGGAGACTCGCCATCAATGGACAAGGATGGTAACTGGCATGGATTTCAGCACTCAGCCTGTTCTTCTAAAAACAGACAGGGAGGCCTTTTCTGATTCTCTGCCCACACTAACGGGAGTAGGATGCTCATTTGCTGATCTATCCGCAACTTGTAAGACAGCTACTGGCTTCCCCTCTTTTGAAGCAGAGAGTCAGAATGAGCTCACAGTTCACAGGAAGCTTCATTCCTACATCCCAGAAGATCAAATTTTAGCTAAAAAAACCCCTCTGATTAATGACTTATTATTTCATTTTGCATGGGGGAGAGAAGGAGAAGCAGAATATACTTAAAATAATTGCTTGCAAAAAATCACTACAGAAGATGGTATAGAAAAAGATATGAATGAACTCAGAATTTGTTCCTACTGCACTGATGTCTTCTGACTACCAGATTAGCTCAGAAAACACTAACTCATTAAATTCCAATATTTCCAGGTTGTCATCCTTTGGGTAGAAAAGCAATCTCGTGTGTGTGTGTGTGTGTGTGTGTGTGTGTGTGTGTGTGTTGACAAATTCTGGGATCTGTTCTCACTTTCTGCCTTGTTTGAGATAGTGTTTCCCTTGTTTGTACTTCTGCACTACATACGCCAGGCTAGCCAGCCCACAAGTTTCTGCCTCACCCTGTGAGCGCTGGGGTTAGAGGCTTGCTATTGATCTGGCTTTTTACATGGGGGTCTAGAGATCTAAGCTCAGGCCATCAGACTTGCACAGCAAGCACTTTTACCGAGAGCGCTCTCCCAGGCCCTGACCATCATTCTTAACTACAGCTGGCCCAGCGAGTCATTAGTCTGTTCTTGATGCATTCATTTCTTTAAGAAAACACGGATGCTCTCTGAACCCTGATAAACTATCTGCCACCCTTCCTTGTCCAGTTAGCTGTGAAATCCCAGAGGCCGCCACAGTGTGGAATTGTTCCTTCTTCAGGAAGCCAGTGCCAGGTTGGGTGAATGCAGAAGGAGGTAACTGCTTTCTCCAAAGGGCCCAGAAGCTGGGGTCTTTTCCACCAACTATCCAGACACCAACATGCTTGTGGATTCTGCCTCAGAGACTGTCTCCGCTCTGGTGATTCACCTTCTGTTAGTGCACTCCTGGAGAGTGCCAGTCCTTTTCACCATCTCCCTGACCTTTCTGTTAGGCTACTTAGAGACTATGCCAGTGAGTCCTGTGAGTCAAGAGTGAGGGATGCATGTGAATGACTAACTCTGGCTAAAAGTGATGTCACGGGGCTGTCTGAGTGCTTCAACCTGTGTGTTGTGCCAAAGTTCCCTCTTGGGACATACGTCTCACTGGTTTCTGTAATTCAAGAGTGTCTTGCTCTCTGAGATCTTCCTGACTCTGAGCGAGACTTCGTTGCTTCTTTGTTTTATTTTCAAGTATGAGATTTTAAAAAGAAAACTATATTGATGTATAAAAGCACACATGTAAAAAGGACACTTGATAAGGTCAAAAGAATCTTACTTTGATGATTGTTTTAATCCGAGCATGGCTCTGTAATAATTGATAAAGAAACTTCACTGAGACAGAAACAACAAACAAACAAACAAACAACAACAATAACAAAAAAACCCCCACCAAACTGCTGTCATCTCCTATCAGGACATCCTTAGGTTTCTGTGCTATTTCTAGCTCATCAGGGCCACACACTGCACAGTGGGGAGAATCAGCCCTTCTGCCTTTAAAGATGACTTAGTTTGAAGTTCCAACACTAGAACTATTATTTGGCATCTTGGGAATCCTGAAACCCCTTAAATGTAGTATTTAACTCATAAAAAATTGTGATTTTGCTCAAGATAGAAATTACTAGGCGCACTGGTGTTCGTGAGCGCCCTTTAGTGAAGTATGGTAATGAATAACATGTTTCATAAGATGCATCATGTCATTCCAATCAAATGAAGACCCATCAGCCCATGTAGAACTGTGATGGTCAATCTTAATTATCAATTTGATAGGATTGAGGAGCACCTAAGAGATTAGTAAAACACATTTCTGGCTATGTCTTTGAGGGGTTTCCAGGGTTATTTAGACCACGGGGCTCTGACTTGTAGACAAACAAGATGGTGGAATTATTAGGAAATGGTGATGGTGGGAGGTAGGGTCTAGGAGGAGGAAGTAGGTTACTGAGCATGTCCTCTGAACCATGTCTTTTCTCTGCTCCCTGCTGTATATGGGGATGCTCTGCTCAACAGGCCCTTCCCTCCAAGATGAAGGAATCATCCGAAACTGGGAGCCTACAAGAGCCCTCTTCCCTTTCACTTGCGTCTAGAACTCTGGCCACGGTTTTGAGAAAGGAACTAATCTGACTGCCATGAAAGGAAACTTTGGTAATTACCATAAGATGTCACTGACTGTAAAACAAAAGCCAATTCTGGGCCTCTTGAAATGAGCTGTAGATCAATGAAAGAAGAGGATTTTCAATATTGTTTTGGAGGAAGGTAGTACTCATACTGGTATGGTAAGAACATTTCTCTTTTAAACACTTTATTTTTATTAT